TACCGTCAAGACGACGTCGTCCGCAAAGCCAACGATCTCAACTCCTTTGGGCAGTTTCAGCGTTAGCACGCCGTTGTACATCCCGTTCCAGAGCGTTGGACCAAGGATGGAGCCTTGTGGAACTCCCGCTGTGATCCTAATCGATCTCTGTCCCATGTCTGTCTCGTAGACCAGAACCCGGTTCTGGAAATAACTCCTCAGGATCCTGCACAGGTAGTCAGGGACCCTCATTCTATGCAGTGCTTCGGTGATGGCCTCCCAGCTGGCGCTGTTGAACGCATTCTTGACGTCGATCGTTATCACGGCGCAATATCGATCTCCTCTCCGCTTCTGTTTGGACGCCTTTTCAGCTCTCTCGACCACTGTCCGAATTGCATCCACCGTCGATCTCCCTTTCCGGAATCCGAACTGCCTCTCCGACAATCCGTGCTCACTCTCCGTGTATTTCGTCAGCCTGTTTAGGATGATCCTCTCCAAGAGTTTTCCGAGTGTATCCAGCAGGCATATAGGCCTGTATGATGCTGGATCCCCCGGCGGTTTTCCTGGTTTCGGCAGCAACACTAGCTTCTGTATCTTCCACCTGTCAGGGAAGTGACCCTCGTTCAGGCATTTCTGCAGCACCATCCTGAACATGTCCGGGGATGACTGGATCGCCGCTTTCAACGCTACGTTGGGGATTCCATCCGGACCGGGAGCTTTCTTCACCTTCAATCCTTTCGCCACTACTACGAGCTCCTCGTTGGTGATTTCGACGTTATCTCCCTCTCCTTCTCCGTACGGTGTAGGTGGCCAGGTTGTTGGGTCGTGCTTCGGGAAAAGTCCTTCCACGATGACTTTCAGCTTCTCTGGGCACATTTCAGCGGGCATCGTTGGACCTCTGATCTTCGCCATCACGACTCGGTATGCGTCGCCCCAGGGGTTGGCATCAGCGTCTCGACACAGCTCCTTAAAACAGTTCGACTTGCTCTGCTTAATTACTCGTTTAAAAGCGGCCCTGGCCGCTCGAAACACTTCTCTTCGTTCCTCTCTGTCTGCTTCCGTTCTTGCTCTCTGAACACGTCTTCTGGCTCTGAGACAACTAGCGCGGAGAGTGCTAAGTGCCTCGTTCCACCAGTAGACTGGACGCCGTCTGTTATTTGGCTCCAGTTTCCTCGGCATGGTCGTGTCACATGCTCTCACTAACATTTCTGTCAGCTCGTCCGCATTTAGATCTACGGGACTCCCGTCCACACGAAGTGCCTCAACGAACAAATCCTTGTCGAAAGCTTTCGTCTTCCACTTTCGGTCACAAGTTCTCGTCCTCCGCACTGCCACAGTATTCCGTTGACCGATGCCATATCGTATCGCCTGATGGTCGCTATGGGTATATCCTTCGCACACTCTCCAATCCATGTTTGCCATCAGCGACGGACTGCAGAAAGTAACGTCGATAATGGATTCTCGGCCATCTCTGCGAAAAGTGCTGCTGGTGCCTTTATTGGCCAGCATAACTTCCAGTTTTGCCAGAGCTTCCAACAGACTGTGCCCTCTTGCATTGGAACACCTGCTTCCCCACTCCACTGCCCAAGCATTGAAGTCTCCTCCGATGACTACCGGTCGTCGTCCGACCAGCTCTTCGGTAAGTCCATCAAGCATCTCGTGGAACTTCTCCATCGTCCATCTGGGGGGTGCGTAACAACTACACATGAAGATTCCGTTGATTTTGGCGATGACGAAGCCTTCGTATGAGCTCGCAACCACTTCTTGAATGGGGTATCTGCCCATAACTTGTATAGCTGCCATCCCAGCTCTATCCGCAACCCAGTTACCGTTATCGGGAGGGACTCGATACGGTTCCGCAATGATTGCAACGTCGCACTTTGTTTTTGTTGTCGACTGCCACAACAGTTGCTGAGCAATATCGCAATGATTGAGGTTTATTTGGGTTACCTCCATTACTGTTGGCCTGCCATCGCCTTTTTGTATGCTAGGCATTTGAAGCCTCCCGTCGTATGATCGTTACCGTCCTCTTTTTTGCAGAGCATACACCTCGGATGCTTCGTGCAGCCTCTTGCAATATGGCCTTTCTCTCCGCATTTCCTGCACAGATCAGATCTGTCAGGGCCATTGCAGTTCCTCGCCTGGTGACCGAATCCCATGCACTTGAAGCATCGCTCCAATTGCTTGGTAACCCGAGGAGTGGCTTTCAGCGAGCACAATGACCAGCCAACCTTGACCTTGCCCGTCTCCAACAGCTTATTCGCTGCAGCTGTCGAAAGCCGTATAACCGCCGTTTGCATGCCGCCGTACGCCTTCCTCATGCGGATTGACATCGGGACATCTCCCAGATCGCAGTGCACTCTCAACGCACTTCTTAGCTCCTCTTCTGTGGTGATCTCGTCCAGGTCCCTGCACTCGACCACTGTCTCCTGGGATAGAGCTCTTACGCTCGCCCCTTCGCCAAGAGACTTTTCAACGAGCTCCTTGTAGGCTGAGCTCTTGATAGCAGGATCCTTCTTCAGCTCAAAGAGGATCTCGCCTTTCTGGGTTCGCCTGGTTTTCACCACGTTCTCTCCTAGTTGCTTCAACTCCGGATCCTCTCGTACCTTCCGGAGGAGTGCTGCATACGACGTTTTGTCCTTAGCTTCGACGATCAGAGCATCGCCCTTACTTCGCTCCCGACGAGTCCTGGGTATCTCCTTCTTCTGTTCAGTTTTCTTCTTCACGTCTTTTTCCTTCCGTTTTTTCCACTTCTCCTTTAGCTTCTCGACGGTACGCCAACCTTCCTCCTTGTTGTCTTCTTTGTCGTTCTTGACTTTTTTCAACTCCTCTTCCTCTCCTGGAGTTTCCCTTTTCCTCTTCTCCGAGCGTGGATTTCGAGGTCCCTTTGGCGTCTCCTGTATTTCAGCTGCTGCTTTCTCCTTGGCCTCGATCAGTGCCCTTTCGGCAGTTACGGACCTCGTCCTCAGCGCATCCTGTTCACGTTCGGCAGCAATAATGGCGGATTTGATGCCCGTCACCATTTCCTTAATTGCCTTGTGGACGTTGCTCTTATCCTTGATGAAGTCATGGAGTTCATTGATCCTCCTCCTGACCTCCATCAATTTGGTCTTCCCAAGCTGCAATCCTTCTTGAGGTGTGCTACTGCTGGATTTCGGTGTGAACACATGGCTTAGCATAAGACCTAGCTCTCCTTGGTGTCCTTGCTGCTCACCTTGGGGCTTACTGCTGCTGTTGGAACTCGCTGTTGCCTCCAGGTTCAACACTGGTGATCTCTGCAATATCCCGCTCCTTGCGAACACGTTCGCTCCTCCGTTTTCAATTTCTGGCGTCTTGCCGTCGTCCTTCATATTTTTTTGGGTTTTCTCATTTTCTTCTTTTTTGTTTTTTTCTCCGTTTTTCTCCATTCTGTTGGGTCCCCCCTCCGGGCCGCTATCTCCACTCGTTGTATGTAGTCGCCTATCGTGATCCCATGGTTATCTATGCAAGCAGGGAGGCCATGCTAGGGTTGACACGGTCCTTCATGAGGGCCGTGTTCAGAGCCAGATCGGCGTAAGTCAGGAATGTTACATCTGAGTCTACTACTCACCAATCACCAATTGGTGACGAGTTTTGAACGTATCCGGAGGCCTGCCAAGGTTTTACCGGGACGGGGGCAGCCGCACTATTAGCCCACTCGCCATTTCAAGAAGGTGTCACCCTTCTTTACTTAGGGAGCAGAATAGCACGACTGTCAGCCCTGTAGCGTGGTATCCAATCCATTGTGCCGTGTCGTGTCCATAGTTCCATGCCGTATCCAGTATGCCGTAATAAGGATCTTACTGGCGTCGATCCTAATGTGCCGGTTGGCACTCCTGCGGGTTGACGAAGCATTTCCTCGATCGCCGTGTTATGGTTACCGCGCCAGTGTTCGCGTCGCACCCCCTCGAGCGCTCCGTTTGTGAAAGGAGAATGAAAGAAATACGAAAGGGATCAGTTTCAAGAAGTGACAGTTTCATCAGATTCCCCAACTAACCATACTCAAGCAAAGTAAGAATAAACAAGCTATATTGCGACTATATGGTTACTTGGGTACTCATATGGCCGTCAGAATGGTTCATCGGTTGCGAAGTGAAGTATTTCTGAAAGTGATGCGTAATATTTCTCAATGTTTTGAATTTATCCTAACGTTACCTCAATGTTATATCACAGACAATCAGACACAACACATTGAACATTTATAATTGTAAACCCTACCGCCATCTGTCGTATATACTTTGATGGGCAATACACTCAACAGATGGTTGTAGTGTGTAAACGTCAAACGCTAGGGAATTGATTATGTGCACCACAAATGGCAGTACTACCAACTAAGAAACATTTAAATTGACCGTTAAAAACGATTTTGATGAACGTTTTAAGAGTGTTATGTCTTCTTTTCTGTGATCATACCTTCACTATCGCAACTTCGGGTAATCTGCGAAAGTACTTGCATTTTCTCAGGCACTTTTGATCTAACTGCAATTACTCTCTCATACTCGAAATGTGCCACGACCAAATTGGCACAACGACGCCCTATACGCTCTCTGACCAAAGCGCAGGGTTCACTTTACAATAAGCATGATACCTAAAAATGTATAACTCTTACATTGAACTATGAAACGCATTTTTAAACCCCAACAAGATTTTCGTGTCCGGATTATTTCATGTTCATATAAGTCCTATTTGGTGAATTTGGCGCAAAATGACCGGGAATTGAATGACCCACTCTCGACTTCAACAATCCTTCCACCAATGTACATACAGAACTCAGAATATTGTTGATTTTTAAATGTGAAAAGCAGCTAATTTTAAGCAGGCTCTCTTGGCTTTCACCGTTAACATTAATAGTATCCCACTTTTTCAATATTAACTAACTCTACCTAGCACAGATGACTGTGCACTTCCACCGGCCTGCAATAAAAATGCCAACCGATAGCCACACTGACTGAATCGAACAGTATAGAACATTATCTCTACAAAGCCGTATATTTCAATTACAGGCAAGCTGAAAACGATTGCCATTCGACCACCGGTGACGTTCGGTGAAGGTGACCAGCGGTTCATCCCCTCAATCATCAAAGTTGCGCTGCGATTCAACGGAGAAATTCCGAAAATTGCCGGCCCCGGCGGAAAGCAACAGCTGGTGTACGCAGGCAATGTCGCCTGGGCTCACGTGCGCGCCAAGGAGGCCCTCCTGACCAAACCGAAGGAAATCTCTGGCCACCCGGTGTTCGTTACGGATGAATCGGGCATCGAGGACACCACACGCTTCTGTCAGCGCTTATCCCGAGCTAATGAAACGCTTAAGCTCCGACCGTCCTGGTACCAGATACCGCTGTTTCTGTCCTTTTTCCTGGCGTTCATGCTGGAGCTGCTGATTAAAGCACTTAATCCGATTGTGAAAATTAAACTGAGCTTCCCCCCGTGCGGACTGCTCTCGTACATGTCATCGATTTTGCTCTACAATCGGATTCGGGCGTCTATCTATCTGGATTATGAGCCTATCTTCAGCGAGGAGAAGGCCGTGTCCAATTCGGCCCTCTGGTACGAGAAGTGGTACCACGATTACTGTCAGGAGCGTAATCTGAAGAAGCTGAAACTCAAATGAGATTCCCCTGAGGGAGGGGGGGATCACGGACTCGGTCCGATAATTGAAATTTGTTTTCTCTATTTTTAGCTATGGGAACGTCAGCAAATTTCGGGATGATTGTCCTTTTCGGCAATACTCGAAACATATCATCATGTATAGGCAAAGCAAATATATACTAAGGCAAAAGGTGAATACAACGACGAGACATTCGCTAATCCGAAACTCCTTACTCTTGATCCCCATTTTCACCAGTGCTACAGTAGTGGTTATCGAACGGAAAGTGTAAGATTTACCCAAATTTTAATTAAAAAATTCAAATTGACTTCATTTGAATAAACTGCCATGACAATGGTAACCGACGCTGGCTGTTGTGGCGGAATTTTTCCCTGGATAATGAAAATTTTTCAGAATTAATTAAACGTTTATTAGGGCTAAATTTAGTGAGTACCGAGTCAGGTTGGCTTCATCTGTGTCTGAAAATGTCAACCATAGTAGTGATGCAAAGGCTACCTCCGATTCAATTATGTTCAATAAATGGTAATAATCCACGGGGTTTAGAGTTGCGTATCAGTTTAGCGCAGAGAAGGGGAAATGGTATAAAATCGTGAATTCAATTAGGGAGCTTGAGGTTTCAGATAATATCCACTTTCGCGAAAGGGAAACTGTCCACAATTTTAATTTAAAGAAAAGTAGAAGATCTGAACTGAAATTATTTCAACTTTCGAATTGTCCTACAATTGCAATTATTTGCACTCCTCCGAGCGTCGCTTGAAGCAGGAAGCCAAACGCATCAATTCAATCGGGTTTCTGGATAAATAAATGTGTGCGTAACGGATGAAAGCTTTCAAAAGCTTCGGCTGTGCGATTACAATAATGAGCCACGATCATAATGATAAAATGTTAACGTATGAAATGAAAAATGACCGATGAAATAAAAGGAAAACGACATCCGTTCAAAAGGATAATAATTCCAGATGGCAGAGAAAAAAATATTCAAACACTCCCACCAGAAAAGAGATCAAGGTAAGAGGTAGCAAGGGTATGACAAAAAGTTGAAACACATTGAACATTTAATCGTGAGGATAATTAAAATGCAATTAAAATATTGAAAAATGAATTAAAAGCAAATTCCGTGCGTGTGTGTGTGTGTCCGTTCGAATGCGTCACGTCGTCGGGTTGGTGAATGCAATTCCACGAGGGAAGTGGAACTAAGGGGAAAGAGTCAAGCGAACATCACAGGTTGTGCACATTAGTCGAAACTAATGAGTAGTAAATTGGTGATAAAAACAGAAGCTGAATTGGGACTGAATTAAGCAAATAAAAAAAAAAGTATGCATCTGAATTATCCCATGTTTGAATACGATAATAATATAATATAATGCAATCAGGATTCAATCATTCGCCTGTTTGATATTCGCATAATTTATTAAGTGCGCTACCGATCATCAATTGGGTGCAAAGAAAGCGATTCGTCCAAGTGCAAAAACGTATACGATAACATAAATAATGACACCGACCAATGGCTGCGATGAATGGCCTGTTGAAAATTAACCACAAAGCGCTGAAATATGATAAAATCGATCAATTTTAAGTTATTTCATCGTGATGGAGATGTGTTGAGTAATGCTTTAATTTGTTTGTAAAGATTGTAATGGAATGCATATTGTGAAGCTTATAAAATAGGCAGGCTAAGGTGGGCTGAACATGTAGCACGGATGCCAGAAGAGCGATACCCGGGGTTGACCTCGTACAGGTTGGCTTTTTTCAGTTAAGGGGGACATTAGGTCTAAACGACATGGCGACTGAAAGTGAATGGCTCAGGACAGAACTTTGCACTCTGAAAAATCGTCACGTCCGATTTACGTGAAAACATAGGTAGTTTTCGTCCACCCTATTTCAGGGGTCACGCTAGGTGATTTGCATGCCTGAAAATCACGTAAATCTCGTTTCGTGCAAATATCGAAGTCCCAGACACACTAACACAAATAAACTAAACCTGGTTACATGAATATACGGTCGATTTTAACAGCATTTTTCGTGAACATGACATTATATACGCTATGAGAACCTATTGAATAAAAGCGCCAATTACCTTGAAAATGATTAACACCCAATCCCAATAAAACAAACGAATTACCATGCAATAAATTTAATTTGTGGTTTTCATTTTTAAGAAAAAAATACTGAAAATAATTCTACATAGGAGTGTTCAAAAAAAAGTTTTAAGGCAAATTTTAAGGTAATTTTAAGTAAATTGAATCCTCAAATCCGATGACAGCTCCAACAAAATTTAGAAGAAAATTTCAAAGGAATTCTGAGGAGTATTCCAAGAATATTCCGGTGATATTTTTTAGAAAATTCAAAAAGAGTTCCAAGGCAATTACGAGGAGCTTTTCGAGGAATAAATGAGAATTCTGAGCAGAATTGAAAAGGAATTCCTATGGTAATTTCAGGAGAATACTAAGTGCATGCTGAGAAGAACTAAAATTGATTTTAAGTGCTTTTCGGGGAATTGCTTGAATTATCAATAATATAAAGAGCATTGCAAAGTGAATTCAGAGAGGGTTCTGCAGAAGATTTTCAAGAGTATTATCAACAATCAATACGAAACTAACGATTTTAAATTGGTTCATTACTTGACTAGCCCGTTGGTCCGAAGTACATCTATAAGCATACCCCATTATCGTATAAGAATCTGTCAAAGTTTGTGTTTTTTTTTTTATTCGCTTTATATATTTGACAGAGTACTTCCCAACAAACATTGTAAGCTCTTATTCAGCTTACAATGTTTGTTGGGAAGTAGTATACGAAATACACATCTGTTAGTTTTTTTTAAGTGAATTAGTGGAAGTGAAAGTGACACAATAGTAGTGAAATTAAACGTAATAAGGTACACAATTATTCTACTAAAACGCTATCAATCAATTGAGATGTTATTTAATGCCTTAAAAAGCTTATAATTTGTATTACTGTTAAGATTTCAGCTGATTAAAATTATCCGATGTATATGTTTAAAAGCTGAACAAAGGTTAACGTGGCATATGTATAACAATTATTCAAACTAAGGCTGAATTAAAATCATTGAAACAACACTTGTTAGGCATAAAATTTGCCTTTTCCTCCGCAACGCGATGTGTGTGGCGATCAAGTCAGCAGGATTCGCGTTCAATGATGAACATGAGCATGAGGATTGGGTAGATCTAGCAAAATTTGATCAAAGAACCAAGGCTTGGGATTAGCAATCCATTCTCAGGATGTTGCATTTGGTGAATTTTCACTTAAATTTGGCACTTCAAAAATAAATTACAATGTGCGAAAATCCCTCTGTTGTTAAAAGGCAATCCAGCCTACGACTGAAAGCCTCTTTAATAAAGATAAAAAAAATCTCTGTTGTTGATCGTCCGATTTTCGACAAAATGTTTGTCAAAATTGATTCCTGGTCGGTTAGAAATAAATCTGGTACAATAGCAGGTTTAATTGCAAATTTTCCATCTCTCACATTTAAGTGACAATTTACCAAATGGAACACAGCCTGCGGAAGTGGCAGAACGGAGGGCGCATGTTCAACGTGCTGAACAGCTTCCTCGTCTACAAGTCTTCCGGGATGAACGTGGAAGATTATTTATCTGGTGAAATGCCATTGGAGAACGGAGTCCCGCAAGGGTCAGTGTTGTCCGTCACGCTATTCCTTGTTGCGATGCAGCCGATTTTCAGAGCAATGCCGCATACTGTCACCGTGGTTCTCTATGCGGATGATATTTTGCTGGTGGTACGGAGGAATAAGAAGCATTCTCTATATCGAGATCTACAGGCTGCAGTTAAAGCTGTAGACAAGTGGACGAATAGCGAAGTTCCGCGGCAAAATCAAACATTTTGTACGGCAGTCTCAACGCCCGTCTTGAACCCAGCAACGTTATCTTCATCGACCGCGCAGCTGTACCGAGGACGCATCAATTGAAAGTTGTTGGCGTCAACCTCGACCGGTCGCTGTCCTTCAAACACCATTGCAAAAACACCTGCAGATTTTGAAGATGACTGGGGCTAAACTTCCGCGACGGCAACGCGGTTCTCTGTCATAACGTCGCGACTTATCTACGGTATCGGGCTCGTCAGTACAGCAAAGGATTCGGTGGTGCAGATTCTTGCACCCATCTACAACCGGATGGTCCGGTTCACCTCAGGGGCGTACGTCACCAGTCCGATTCCAGCGATCATGGCTGAAGCAGGCACATTGCCGTTCGATCTAATAATTCTGCAAGCTATAATTCGTGTCGCAATTCGATTGATGGAGATGAAATCCTTCTTCGATCTTCCAGTCGTAGAACGAGAGTCCGATTGCCTGGCGGCGGTTGATGTGGAGCTTCGAAACATCGCTGTACGGACACATCTCGCGAACCGAGAGTGGTATGATCCAAAACCGCATATTGTTTGGGATGTGAAACGGCAGGTGAAAGCTGGAGATCTCCCGAATACAGTGGGCCCCATCATGCAGGAGTTGCTGGCCGTCCGGTTTAACCTTACCTTGGCCATTTATACGGATGGCTCTAAGTGCGAGAAAATAGTTGGAGCAGGTTTATTTAGCAACAGTATTCAGCAAGCAATAGGTCTTCCGGCACAGTGTAGAGTTTTTCGGCGGAGGCCTTTGCAATCAAGTCGGCCGTCATCGCGGCGAGAGCATCAAACCGTCGGACTACATGGTCTTATATAATAAATGCAGCAGGACTTGTGTTTTGTATAGAAATAGGAATTTTATCAGGGCTCTCTCTGTTTATACTCTTTAGTATGACTATGATTGCCCTGAAAAGAAACTTTTGATATGAATTTTAGTTGGGACCTGTTCAGAAATTTAACTCTTTTGGAAAATCTTAGTGGCCCTGAAAAGTGGCGATGGTAATATAGGCATGAATACCATGATACTGTTGCACCTGTAGTTTTTGGCATACTTTCACTGATGGATTTCCGGGGATCCTTGTTCAGTTATAGCAAGATGTAGGCGTGAGGACTTCCACGGTGCTGAAATCCAATCGTGCAACCAGCTTGTTGAAGTACACACAGCATGACTGGATCATCATTGACCAGAGTTGCTCTTTGTAGTGTAGTCAATTCCTGGATAGGATCTGTTAAGTCATT